GATCCTCGTTTCCCGAAACTAGGCCCCTTCCCATTTTAAATGGATAAGACCTAAGCTTTACCTAAATTCCTTATATATAGAGGAGATTCGTCTACTTTCTATAAATTAGTGGGATACCCTTAAAATGGCTAAAGTTAGGCTTAGTAACCTCGAACGCCGGAGACTACGAGAGGAGTGCCGGGAGCTTCTTTCGAAGTACATTAGTAGGTAAAGGTGACCTTTCCTGTAGATTAGAACTAAGATTATCTTAGAGAGTAAAATAGGCATTAAAGTATACCCGTCTTAGGTTCGTCTTATACCTAAACCGTCTGATCCGTATAGATGGAAAATCATCCCTGAAAGGGAGGACGTTCTATCCGAGCTTTTCTCTAAGAATATAAGTGATCATTCTATACGAGCTTATCGAGACCTATACGAAGGAGTAGATAAAACCTTTAAGGCTGTTTCGTCAGCTCTACCGAATATAAACACCCTAGATTCTATTGTATCGGTATAGAGACGTAATATCCCGGTCTACTTAAGACTCCCTAATAAAGTATACAGTTATAAGACCCTAAAGCTAGCTTTAGCGTAAAAATCGAGCACCTCGAAAATGAAAGCGCTCGGTTTTTCTACGAGCTATACCAGTGGAGAGATAAGGCGACAGCTGAATCAAAAGGTAGACAACTTACAGAAGAAGAAGCTAACCGACTATACGAGACTAATCAGCAGCTTTAAGGTCGAATTCGAGAGTACTTAGATAGGGTAAACTACTTAACGGGCTAAGCCATAAAATGCTTCGAGGGACTAGATAAAGTACTCCTAGTACTCGAGGAGCTAAAATCAGGGCTAACTTTAGGTGTTTCTTTCGGCTCAACGACATCTCGGCGTGGTGAAATGCCCTACGTGCTGAAATAAGGACTAGGCCCTGCGAGCTGTTCTGTTTATCTACGGCCGCGAATAACTCATGGCATTCGATTCGTAACAGTGCAGGCCAGGTCAGTGGCGATTTCCGATTAGTATCACTCCCTCGCCTTCGATCTCAAATAGACCAGCCTAAGGCAGGAGCACGAGATCAGGTTCTATAGATAATCAAACAGTCGATTGAGTAGTGTATCTTCTATCTATATGTCTAACCCGAATGTCTAAACCCCGAAGATTTACGGTGATATAGCGCCTTAAACTCCCTAATATCGTCAGGATGGACGTTTTCTAGAGGCTTTCAGGTACTTTCATTGTCTAGATAACTAAACTACTTCACTAAATGTTAAACTCGTCTTCTCACCTGACGTTTGCCCAGTAATTTCTCGATCTTCCACTGATTATCTTCTAGTTTTATAACAGCGGGTCGACTGCGACTCAAATCTTGGACACCGGTATGGAATTGCACCACCTCAGCCCGGGTTGGCACGGCGGTGGGAGGGCTTAGGTTCGAGACTAGCATTTCGCAATCACCGCCCATTTCTGAAGAATCTTTCGTTTTGGCACCTAGAGATGAGTCGCCTGTGATCTTGATTACGGCATTGCTATACCATAGTTACTAGTATTCAATACGTACGGCGGGGTCGGGTAAGTATTAGAAACCTCTCACCGGACTTATCGTGAGGGTTTATAAGATCAACCACCTCGATCTAGTCGAAGTCTGCCGCTAGACGCCCTTAATAGATGATCTCTAGGTCGATCGGGATCGTAGCGGCGGCAGCTTCTGACGGGGTAGCCTAGGGAGAGGGACAGTACTTTCGAGCTCTAGGTACTGCTTCGAATAGGCCACTTAATAGGGATGATAACGAACTGTCGATGCTGATGCAGTCATCACCCGCATCCTAAACGCTATCCGCTTATATTATATACCGTAAAGTGAAACTACCGATTACCGACAGCGTTTAGATCCCTCCGGGGGGGTTAGGATTAAAGTTAAGGGCCGAGATATTTATAAATTTACGGTCGTCTATATCTTCAGAGGGGTACCGCTTAGTCCGTAATCTATAACTAGGTCTTAGTCTTAAGGCTCGGCCTTCTAACTAGGCTAAGGGGCGAGACCGCTTTCGCCGGGTAGTATCGGGAGGCTTAAGCTTATAATTCACGCTCTAGTCTAGCGAACGTTAACGCCTTTATATACGTTACGGCTTAGGAGTACCGTAGAAGTCTTCTAGATAATGCTAAAGGCCGGAGTCCGAAAAGAGTACCGTAGAGTATAATAGATGTAGGCATAGAAAGTAATCCTTAGAGTTTAGACTCGCGATATATTCTAGGATACATCTAGATATATATTACTACTAGATCCCTCGATTTAGGTACTGTTACATCCTTATAGCTACCGGACGCCCGACTTTACTAAGATAGCCGCAGTAATACCCGGTATAGGTAACCGCGTGGCGGAAAGTGACCGGGTCGTATCGTAAGGGAACGTCGAGATTATCGATGTGAGTTTAATAGTGGATTTCCTAATCGTTCTCGTTAGTTATCTAACGGCTGCATCGGAAATAAAACTCGGCGAAACCGAACTATTTAATGTGATGGCTTTTAGAGCACCCGTATATGTACTTCTACCTATCTTTAACGGCAACACTAAATTTAACCTATCAGTAGCTGGAATGATGCCGATGGTTTATAGGAATGTCTCTTACTTACTCTTTAATACTCCGGTTATAGGAAGAAACTAGATAGGAATCTCCTATAGGCCACAATACTTCCTAATAAGTAACGCGAGAATCGTTCGCTCGGAGAGTAATAAGGTCTCGGAGGGTAGAGATCCCTTCGGGGCTTCGCAGAGGGACAGCGAGCGGTAGAGTCCGGGCTAGGCGGTTACGTTTAGGAACTATATGGCGGACGATACGATTAAAATAACTACGCCGTCAGTCCCCGTAGTCGTCTACCTTACTTTAAGTAGTCTAGACTCGCCGTTTAACTTTACGGTAGTTCTCCAACTCTTCGTCTACTAGTAGCTGTCGCCGATTATAAGCCTAGCGCCTCTTAGCCTTTAGTGCTTTCCGCTCCTCTTCAGTAATGTCAGCGGTAAGTTAAAGAGAGAGGTCCTTAATTTATTCGTAAAGGGCGATAAATTACGGGCGGTACTTTAGTTCATCTAAACTTTTACTAGGGATTAACTACGGGAGATCGGGATTTCTCTTCATTAACGCACTACGAAAGTCCTCTATAAGGTCCCGCCGTAGTTCTAACCCTAGGAAGACGGCGGCACCGTCTACGTTACTTATATTATCTAGATAGTAGCCGATAAGAGTTCTTAGGTTCCTATACGCGGCGAACTTCATTACCTATCTAAGCGAGTAGCCGCCATCTACGAACGGGTTAGCTTTAGTAAATTAACTCGGTATAAGATCGCCTTACCGTCTACTTTAATTAGTGCTTCGCGGCGAGGGGTATATAATCCTATTCCTCCTGGAAAGTCTACCCTTTTTACCTAATCGGAATACTAGTAGCTCCACGCGGACTCGTTTTTCTCTTTTTTAGTTAGTCCATTTACGGACATCTCTAGAAAGACTAGATCGTCTAAGACGGCGTCTACCCACTCTATAATCCTAAACCTTCTTCTAGGTGACGGTCTAGCATTAAGGACCGCCTCGATAGTGTTATAGTCCTTAAATACGCGAGCCGAAATAAAGATAGCCAGTAAAAATAAAAGCCCGTTAACGAGTAAAGGAGGTGTAGGATTTAGTCTCTCGTATATAGGATACTTTAGTCTACATTTTAATAGAAGTATAAGTAATGAGGATCTAAGCCTCGGAGCGGCCGACATTCGTCACTTACTTATTAGGATTATCTTATATACCTTTTATGCGCTCTCTTTTAAACCGTATCTTAATCTCTAGCTCTCCGTCTTTCTATGCGACTATATAAAGAAGGTCCTATTAGACATTATTAGTACCGTCTATATTTCATCTCGTCTAGCTTAGAACTAGACCTTATACTTTACCTTGTAGATTTCTTATAATCTTATAGAGGTATAGTAGTACATCTTTAATAGGGTACTAGAGTCTACTCGGCTCGCTTCGTAGATGTAATTATAATAATCGTTCAGCTAGAGTAACTCTTCTATAGCGATATAGTTCTCTATCGTCAGATATATAGGTTCTTTCTCCTCGATGGAGAGCGGAATTTTATATCTCAGTACATTTTTAATGTACTTTCTCTCGTCAGTAAATGAAACTATAAGTAGGCGCTCTAGCTTAGGAAGCGTTTTAACATACTTATAGGAGCTATCGAGTCATAAACGTCTTTAGGGATGGTAAGGTAAGTCTCCCTCTACCATTATAACATGAATTTTCGAATCTTATTCCGTATCGTCCTAACCGTTGCCCGTTTCTTATTCTTATCCTTATCTAGGCTCTTTTCCTTGTCCAGCCTACTAGGCGTCGCGCGTCCGACTACTTCGGTAAAGTATTTTATGACTTCTATACTACGAGGATCGGACCCCGGATATTTCCTTTCGTACCTAGTCCTTATTAGTTTTTATCTCATAGACTCGAGTAGGGCTTCCTAGGTAGCCTACGCTTTCTAAACCTCCATCATCGCCTCGTACTGCGGCTTACTACTCTTAGCAAGTTCTATATAAATAGGCTTCCCGTCGATCCCCGACCTATCCCTAGAGAGCCCATCCTCTAATGCCGCCTCTATCTACTCGTCTAGGTTCAGACCCTTCTAACTTCTTTTCTTGTTCTTGATGCTTATAGTTAATAGCTCCCGAGTATTCTAAGGACCTATACCTATACCGAGAAGGGAAAGTAGAAATCGTACTAGGAGCCGAGTTAGAGGACGTGAAAAGAGTTTACACGATAAAAAGGAGGGGGAAGATACGGCGAGGAGGGGAGAATAGACGATAAAGGAGATAGAAACTCAACGGGACATTAGAAGGGTTAGGGGGACTATATCTAGGAACCCTCCCTCGCGTCAGGGATATAAGCGTACGTCGTACTAGGCCCATCACGCTCATGAAGACCGACTCGTTCTCGCAGGGTCGAGGAGGCAACGTACCGTGGTGCGTCTCTAGGGAGCCCCTCCCCCTAGGGACCTCGTTTTGGGGCCCTCGTTAAAACTTGACGGTCTGGAGGAGGGACGACCTTTGGGCCACCGCCCGACGTGGTCAGCAAGGTGAGCTGGCCCAGCCGAGCCTGAGCCGACGTTAAGCCGGACGCGAGCCAGCCTGAGTAAAAGCGGCGCGAGGTCACGTGTGTTGGAAGGGTGCCGGCGTCGAGATTCCGGTCGTGAAACAGGGGATTCCCAGCTTGATCCACCACATCGGGATTCGCTTCCCGCTTGAGCAATAACCTGACCGTATTCAGGCGACCGTTATAGACCGCCAGCATCAGAGGAGTGAATCCTTTGAAATAACTTCTACCTACGCTCTGTCTCTGTGTTTCGATATCGGCATCATGCGGTGCATTCAGGAGGCGCTCAACCACCTCATCCATCCCCCACTTCGCAGCGCTTAGGAGCGCTGTTTCCCTAAGGACGTTTCGAGCATCGATTTTTGCACCGTTCTTAATGAGGAGCTCCACGATGTCTGATTTTCCCTTTTTGGCAGCATAGCACAGTGGACGGTCCTTAGGGTACTTGCGGTCCTTGGGATCCTCGGGCTCCTTGGTATTCTCAGTGTTGGGGTCAGGCGATTCTTGATTGGGATCAAACCCCAGTTCAAGCAGAAGGCGGACCATCTCGAAGGAGTCCCCGTCGTCTATGGCCCTCAGCAGCCATAATGCCCGATTGCCTTTCAGAGCCTTGTCATCTAGGATTCCGAGTCTCTTGAGCGCTTTGCAAACATTGTCACGTCCTTCCTCTCCGCCTCTTCTGTGGCCAGTATGGTCTCCGTGTGACTGAGTCGAGCTGTTTGGAAGGGCACCTGCGTGGGTGGATTGTGTGGGAGCTTGTGCTGTTGTGCTCTTATCTGATACCCTTTTCCCCTCTGTTTTTTCTTTTCCAGATGCTTGAGCTTTCGGTTGTGCAGGGGACGAGGATTCATTCTTTTTTGCTGGCGTTTTATTCCCATCAACCATGTGCTTAAGTCGTGTAGCTTGTATGTTGTTCGTGTCGATACGTTTTTGAAGTTCCAACGCCGGCGGACCGTCCTGGGCTCTTCTCGATTCTTAGTCCTGACTTCGATAGAACAGAGCGCCTATACAACAGCACTTACGGGTCGACCATGCGTACAAGATCCTCCAGAACATTATGATAGTTGCTCATAAGGGTGTAATAGTCATTCCACGGGATAGACGCGTCACGAAGCTTTTCGGGGTTAAGATTGTAGATGGCCGAGTCCAAGACATGTGAACACCCCCCAAGAGCAGCCTTGAAGCAACTGTGTTTATGACCTGCTTCTCGAAATGGATGTTGAGGGCAATCAGTGGAGCTGAAGATGCGTTGCAAGCCTTTTAGGCTCTTTTCGATGCCAACAAGTGGAGTCTCGATTCTAGATATGGACCAGGAAGGGCCGTCAGCGAAGAAGGCGGCACGTTTTAAATCGTCTTTTGCCTCGTCGCAATCTAGTAATAGGTGGCCAATTTGTCTGGTTGCTTGAGAGGCAGTTATCAGCTCCATAGCGGAAGATGGGCATGCGAGCCAGTGCTGGGAAGAGTCTCATCTAACAAACACACAGCAACTTCGCCGGGTGTTATATGCTGTCAAGCACGAACTTGCGCCCGATTATACCTGGAGTCATCCGCATGTTACGGGGACAATCAGGCTGGCGAGATAATGTAAAGTGCTGTAGACGGTTCAAAAGAGACCCCGCCATGCACTTCGTGACGTGTCAATGCATGCTTCTGCATACGGATGGACCGGATTGGCTGCTTTAGAAGCAGGTTGATGCGAACTGTGCGGGTCCTCCTTGATATGAATTAGCTGCCCCCTAAGTCGGGCATCGAGCACGCCATGTGCGGTCTAGACAATGGCCGCAATTGCCGCATGCCCGGCAAGGTGTTTGTTTGGGCGCACAGAGCCTCATTGGGGCCACCAGGGCTATCATTGGGTGGTGTCGAATGTGGTATCGTCATTTGTGTAACATCAGGGAGAGACAGGCTCTACAGCTAAGATAAGCAACGCGAGATAGAGCCATGGCAACCTCTTCGTCGCAGAGGAGGGCGGGGTTTGGGCGACATGATATATCATCGGCAGATTGAAGTTTGGAGGTGGAAAGTGAAAGATCAAAGGCGGAAGGTAGAAAGAAGGAGGAAGGAATGATGAGGCTGCCGGCCACACTGCCCAAGAAACCTACAGTGGAACCTCGGAGAAACAAACCCCCGAAGATTCTCAGCCTTGCCGACTACAAGTACATGGGCACCTCACCGACACCATAACGGATGGAACAGTCCAGCGGAGGGTATTTATAGGCATGTATGCGGTTATGAGGCGTGGTCTGAGCAGCAAAGGTTCGAGTAGGGGAGAGGAAGATTCTTCGAGGTGGCAAGGAAGCAATCTGGTTCACCCTCTCTCATGGTCCCACCTTTGTCGATCCCTTGCTTTTCACTCGAACAACAGCTACATCTTCCCGGCTCTCATGGCAGAGTGTAGCCTCCGTCAATAAGGACATCACTTCCAGTTTGGAAGCTCGAGGCATCACTCGCCAGGTACAAGTAGAGACCCTTGAGTTCGCGGACATGACCCTGGCGGCCCAGCACTGCCATGCGATGGGCCTCATTCTCACACAGCGGGGAGGCCCCCATCTTTGTCTGGAAGAATCCGGGACTCACAACGTTGACGCGCGCAAAGTCCCTCCACTCTCTCGCGAGGCTCTTGCCGAGATGGGTGACGGCTGCCTTAGTCGCGTTGTACACAGGCTGGTCGACGGGTACGTTGACTATGTGGGCCGACATGCTGGACGTGATGATCAGGTTCCCTCGACCCTGTTGTTTGAAGACCTCGCCCGCGTACTTGGCACAGAAGAAGACGCCATCCACGTTCACTGACATCTGCTTTCGATACTCGTCAACCGTCTGCTCGAGAATCGGCTTTGAGATGGCCATCCCGGCGTTGGCGACGAAGACATCCAGCCGGCCAAAGTCTTTCACCAGCTCGTCCACCGCGTGTTGGACCCGCAACGGCTCTGAAACATCGACCTGATACGCTTTGACCTTGATGCCATGTTGCGACGCCAATTGTTGCCCCTTGGATTTGGCGGCGTCGTTCGTGTTGTACCAGAGTGCCAGATTGGCGCCAGCTTCTGCCATGGTTTCGGCGACCGCAAAACCAATGCCGTCCGACGCACCGGTGATGCACACCAACCGACCTTTCATGGAGAGTTGCTCAAAAACATTGTTGGGTGTGGCCGGGGTTGGCTTTGGGGGCCGGGGAGTCGCGCATTCTTCTATTGACATGGACATACTGGATGGAGTTGGGAATGTGGGAATGAGACGAAGCCAGAACTTGAAGATTTCACACGAGTGAAAGATCGCAAAAGAGATAAGGAGGAGAGGGCCAGAGTCGTCGGTATATGTGGGATTCGCTGACAAGGATTAGTGGCTGTTTCTCGGGGCAATGCCGTCCGATTTGGGACCGATTTGGGATCGACAGGGTCACTTCGGATATTGCTTTGGACGATTCGAGTGCTTTAGTATCAATTGTATGGCACACCAGAGAAAATCGATAAGCAGTGAGTGTCCTTGTTCATCTCGTCCATGCGGCGAATCGATTCCTCCTGACTGGTAGAAGCTCTATAGACAGAGACAGTATCTGCCTAGAGACCAAGGAACCATACTGTTTGTCAATCAGTGTGTGGCTTACAGAAGCGGCATATCCTACTAAGATGGCTGTGACTACATCGAGCTGCCTGGTTACACTACAGCCAAGTGTACGAGAAAGGATGGACAACCCCTCCCAGGTGCCACAACCTTGATTGACAATTACCCGATTGGGGTGCATGGGGCCGTATGCGCACGAGTCATGTACCCCGCACAAGGCTACGAATTCCACACGAGGCTGGTGACGTAACTTTTCTTCCTCGTGGCTGGTGCCTGGTGGTGCTGGTGTGCTAGGCTACACTATAAGCAGCTTTCTATATTTCATCCCTCTCGACTCCTCTAATCCCTAAATCCCAACGAGCTAGTTGAGTTCTGCGTGCTCAACATGGCCACCCAAACACAACCTGAAATCATCCTCTACGACCTGGCCTGCACCAAGAACGTCTGCTTCTCGCCCGCCGTCTGGCGCATCCGCCTCATGCTCAACTACAAACGTATCCCGTACCAGACCATCTTTGTCGAGTTTCCGGACATTGAACCGACGCTGAAAGGGCTGTGAGTGTTCGCCCTCTTTTACGGTTTCCTCCTTGTTATTCCCAGCTACATACTTTCGATACCATGTCTCCCATCTATCACAAGTTAGAGAGGTAGGTATTCTCCCTCACTTGATGACAACCCTGTTATTAGAGGCATCGCCCCCTCGAGCGGAACTAGTTCGTCGTCCCAGATCAAATACACGGTGCCGGCGATCCACCACGTCCCGAGCAACACGTCCATGATGGAGTCGGGTGCGATCGCCCAGTTCCTCGAGTCGACGTACCCGGACCCGCCAGTGCCGTTGACGTCGGAGCTCGGCCGCGAGATCGAGACCCAAACACGCGCCGTGGCTGGGAAGGTGTTCCGCGCATCGATATTGCCGCGCGAAGTGAACGTCCTGTCGCCCCGCGCGCAAGAGTACTTTCGGCGCACGCGCGAGGCTGCGCTGGGCGGCCACCGCCGGCTCGAGGACCTCCTTGATGAGACCAAAGAGGACGAGAGCTGGGCCGCCGTGGACGATGGCATGCGCGCCGTGGGCGAGCTGATGCGCACGAACCGCGCTGACGGGCCCTTTGTGCTGGGTGCCCGTCCCAGCTACACCGACTTCTTCATCGCCGGGTCGCTCCAGAACGCGCGGGTGGTGGACGAGGGCGTGTTTCTACGGAATATGCGCTACCCGGGCTTCAGGGACGTGTATGAGGCGTGTGTGCCGTACATGGAGAAGAATGATTGAGTAGAGATCCCGGAGGGCGGTATTGCGGCTCGTCGGTCGTATAGACGGATACCTAGATAGATACGCTCCGTTCTCTGCTTAACAAATAGAGTTAATGAATAGATGATCAACAAAAATTCCTCCCTGGACGAGAATCGTTGAGATAGAATCACCTAACCACTGCCGAGGACTTGCATAGCGATCCTACCACACACCTACCTTGTACCTACCTAACTACTACGAGATATCCCATAAACACATCTATGGATGTACATGTAGCCATGCATAAAACCACCACATTTACATTCACCCCCTTCCATTTGAGCCTTCTTTTACTGATCCTTCTCGCTCCGCGCACCTCGCTTACTGACTTCTTACCTCTAGGAAAAAGGATTCCCGCATTCTGCCTAAAGTCCCAACCATAATAACCACCGATGACCCGAAGTCTTACCCCAAGTCACCCAGGGTTGGGGCCGATGAGATACTGGGGCTTCTTGGCTGGGTCCTTGGATTGATTACTCCCGCTACTGCCGCTACTACTACCGCCACTACCTCATATAGTCTGGGCAGGGAGGTTGGTAGGGTATCATCCATGCCCGCCAAAGTACTGTTGTACCTGGGAAGGAATTATTATTCTTCCCCCCTCCGGAGTTTGCCCTTTTTGGCCAACTGCAAAAATTTGGGACGCTCTCTCCAGAGCACATCCACAAACTACAAACGGCTCCTGATGTGATAGGCCTGACAGGGAAATGTACCTCTTGTAGGAAGTTCTTCATATTCTCAAACCGTGCTCTGCGTTGATCAGTAGCTAAAGACCAGAATGCTTGAAAAAGGCCCTGTCCGCTGCTGATCAGTAAGTCAGGACTAGGGGGGAAAAGGGAGATACAAATCTGGTCAAACAGTCGCCGTCACACAACCGACATCATGAAGTTCACAGAGGGAATGTGGCGGACCCGGTCGGGCGTGTCTTTCAACTGGATGGGCAACGTGGAGCGGCTTCACGTCGATGAACACAACGCCGTCGACCTCCTGCTCACAAAGGCGCCGAGGAGCCGGGGCGACACCCTCAACGTCGGCACCCTCTCTGCTCGAGTCCGCACTCCGCTTCAAGGTGTCGTCGCCGTGAACTTCTCCCACTGGACCGGCGAGGAGGATCAGGGCCCTCATTTTCCCCTGTTCGAGTCGCCGCCAACCCCAACCATCAATCACTCCAAGGGCCGATCGTTGGACTATACGAGTGGACCGCTGGCCTTGTCCATCAACACCACCCCAAACCAGCTGGCTTTCACATACTCGTCCAACTCGAAAAGACTCACCGGCCACTCATTGCGGTCCATCGCCGTGGTGTCGTCCTCGGACACGCCCAGGTACAGGATCGACGAGGGCATGTACGCACAGCAGGACAACTATATCCTCCTCGAGCTCGACCTCTCGGTCCACGAGAAGATCTACGGGCTCGGGGAGCGGTTTGGCCCGTTTGTGAAGAACGGGCAGACGGTCGACGTCTGGAACGAGGACGGCGGGACCAGTTCCGAGCTGACGTACAAAAACGTCCCCTTCTACCTGTCCAGTCGCGGGTACGGCGTCTTCGTCAACAACCCCGGCAAGGTCAT